CAATTTGGGGGATTACACATGTGTGCCACTGTGCCTTATGGCATGAAGGAATTTTTTTTTTTTAAAGAGACAGAGAGAATATTTTTTAATATTTATTTTTTTATAATATTTATATTTTAGTTTTTTCAGCAGACACAACATCTTTATTTGTATGTGGTGCTGAGGATCGAACTTGGGCGCATGCATGCCAGACGAGCGCGCTACCGCTTGAGCCACATCCCCAGCCTGGCATGGAGGAATTTTAAATGCCTGTTACTAAGTGGGGGAAAAAAAAGCCAATGTGAAGCCAGGCATGGTGGCACATGCCTATAATCCCAGCAGCTGGGGAGGCTGAGACAGGAGAATCGAGAGTTCAAAGCCAGCCTCAGAAAAAAGCAAGGTGCTAGGCAACTCAGTGTGACCCTGTCTCTAAATAAAATACAAAACAAAGCTGGGGATGTGGATCAGCAGTCAAGTGCCCTGAGTTCAATCCCTAATACCCGCCCCCCCCCCAAAAAAAAAAGACAATCTGAAAAAGTTACATGCTGTATAATTCCAACTATATGACACCCTGGGAAGGGCAAAACTGTGGACCTTTATTTGTTTATTTATTTATATGCAGTGCTGAGAACAGAACCCAGTGCCTCACATGTTAGGCAAACGCTCTACCACTGAGCCACAACCCTAGCCCCAAAACTATGGAGACAATAAAAATGATTAGGTGTTCCCAGGGATTGAGGGGAAGGAAGGATGAATAGGTAGATCACAGAGAACTTTTAGGGGAGTGAAACTATTCTGCATGATACCATAATTATATATGGATGTTGTTATACATTTGTCTAAATCCATAGAATGTGAAACACCAGGAATGAACCCTAATATGAGGTATGGACTTTGGACTTTTATTAATGTGTCAATGTAAGTTCACCAATTGTAACAAGCGTACCACTCTGGTGCTGGAAATCAATAGTGGAAAAAATTGTGTATCTGGGGACAGGGAGTATATGGGAACTCTCTGTACTTTCTACTCAGTATTACTATGAGACTAAAATGTCTCTGATAAATAAAACCTATTTTTTAAAAAATCAACTGTTGGGCTGGGGTTATGGCTCAGTGGTAGAGCACTTGCCTAGCACGTGTGAAGCCCTGGGTTCGATCCTCAGCACCATATAAAAATAAATAAATAAAATAAAGATATTGTGTCCAACTACAACTAAAAAGTAAATAAATATTTTTTAAAAAATCAACTGTTGGGACTGGGGATGTGGCTCAAGCGGTAGCACGCTCGCCTGGCATGCGTGCAGCCCGGGTTTGATCCTCAGCACCACGTACAAAACAAAGATGTTGTGTCTGCCGAAAACTAAAAAATAAATATTAAAAAAAATTCTCTCTCTCTCTAAAAAAAAAATCAACTGTTCATAAACCTAAGGATTTATTTCTAGATTCTCAATCATATTCCATTAATTTTTGTCTACCCATATATCAATATAGTCTTAATGACTATAACTTTGTAGACAATTTAGAAACTAAGAATTGTGAATCCTCCAATTTTGTTCTTTTTTTTTTAAGTTGGACACAATACCTTTTATTTTATTTATTTATTTTCTTGTGGTGCTGAGGATTGAACCCAGGGCCTCACACATGCTAGGCAAGCACCAGCCCCAATTTTGTTCTTTTTCAAAAATGTTTTGGCTATTTTGGGTCCATTGCATTTCAATATGAACTTTGGGATCAGCTTAATAATTTCTACAAAATAGGCAGTTGGGATTTTGATAGGAATTTCACTGAGCCATGGACTAATTTGGGAGAATACTGCCATTTTAACAATTCAAAGTCTGACACTTGTGCTGGGAATGTGGTTCAGTGGCACAACACTTGCCTAATGAAAAAACAAAATGAAAAAAAAGGAAAAAAAGGTCGTCAAAGAAGAGTCTTCCATTCTATGAACATGGAACATCCATTTTTTTAGGCTGTCTTTAATTTAACAATATTTAACAATTTCCAATGTACATATTTTACATTTAGTTAAATTTATTAGTTTTTTTTCCCCCACTGATGCTTGAGATTAAACCCAGGGGCACTTTGCCACTAAACTATATCCCTATTTATATTTTGAGACAGTTTATTGCTAAATTTGCAGAAGCTGGCCTTGAACTTGCAATCCTGCTGCCTCAGCTTCTCAAGTAGCTGGGATTAGAGGTGTGCACCACTGTGCCCAGCATATCTTAGTATTTTTGTAAATAAATTTATTCTAGGTATCTTATTCTTTTTAGTGTAATATGAACAAATTTGTTTTCTTAATTTCATTTTGGAATAGTTCATTGCTAGTGTATATAAATCTAATTGAGCCGAGCGTTGTGGCACATGCCTATAATCCCAGAGGCTTCGGAGGCTCAGGCATGAGGATCGCGAGTTCAAAGCCAGACTTAGCAGGTTAGCAAGGCCCTAAGTAAAATATTAAAAAAAAGCTGAGGGCCAGGCGCACGCTTGTAATCCTAGAGGCTTGGGAGGCTGAGATAGGAGGATCAAAGCCAGCTTCAGCAAAACTGAGGTGCTATGCAATTCAGTGAGACCCTGTCTCTAAATAAAATACAAAATAGGGCTGGGGATGTGGCTCAGTGGTTAAACTGCTCAAAAACTGCATTCCAGCTTTAACATGGTTGTTAGTAAACCTTGGGGGAACTTCCATTATAAAGTTTTCAAGTCTCTTGTTCTGAAATACACTTTTCTAGACTTAAGTGGAGGCATTTCAGGACAAGGGACATCTGCTCAGTTAAGTTTAAGCATTATGGCAGTGGGTTAAAGGAGATATCAGACAGGAAGTGGGAGCCTATCTGAACAGTTCCTCAGGACAATAGAATCAGCAAATATTTGAATAGACCAAGGGGGTTTGCTAAAGCAGAGTGTTCCAAGGGGTGTCACCTTGTCTGGGAGTCCACTATCCTGTCACTAGTCTACCAGGCTATACAGGCAGCAGGCTAAGATCCAACCTGAAAACACATATAAAGTTTTTGTGGGGAGCAGATGCCTGTTTTGGTTCTGTTTGGTTTGGCTGGGTTGTTATCATTTTGCTGGGAACAAGTAAATACCTTATTACACTAACTTTTTCTCTTTCTTTTTATTTTCCTTCCTTTTTTTGTACTGAAGATTGAACCCAGGAATACTCTACCACTATGCTACATCCCCACCTTTTTTTTTTTCCAAAGATAGGGTTTCCCTAAGTTGTTGAGTCTGGCTTTGAACTTGCTATCCTCCTTCCTCAGCCTCCCTAGTCACTGATTACAGGTGTGCACCACCACACCAGGAACCCCAGCTGCCCTTTTAATATTTTGTGACAGGGTCTTCTAACTTGCCCAGGCTGGCCTTAAATTTTCGATCCTCATACTTCAGCCTTCCAAGAGGCTGGGATTAACTTTTTTCATTTTCAAAGAAATGAGTGAAAACAGAAAAAGACCTCTTGGCTCCAAGAATAAATTAACCTGAGGGGAGTCTGATGGTAACACACATGGATTTCCTCATGGTGTGGAGAATGGTATGAAGTACTCTTGAGTGGGGAGTTGCCATTATGGTCCCCCATGGTTCTTCAAAAACTGCCAGGTGCTCCTAGATGAGGAGAGGCTGCTATTGGCATCTGAGGGGCTCTAGGGGTACCCCCAATGGAGGACTGCCTGTTGCCTCTGGAGAATGCTTGCCTACTTATAGGACATTATCTGTAGCTGGAGGCTCAGAGCACCCAGTGTGAATTTTGCTAATTTATAGAACACTCCCAAAAGGCTGCACTCTCCTGTCAAAGCATGGGGGGTGACTTCCTGCCATCCCATTGTAGTTGAGAGGTCAGGGCCCCTCAGCCAGACCCATAACCACATCTCACAGTGCCCAAAGATGCAGACCAAACATCATCTTGTGTTGGGGGGCTTGGATGATGCCCAGCTGGATGGAGTAAATGTTTTGGGATGAATGATCAAGGATGGTATCAGGTACAGTGGAAGCAGGGTAGAATTCTTACCCAGGGACGTCACTTGGCCCTCAGTGAAGGCGGCTAGTCACTTACCTGGTGACTTGGAATTCCTCCTCTGTGTGTCAGTGATAGAGATACTCTAGAACCCAGTGAGCTCTGGTCTTGATCATGTGAGGTGTAGGTAGGGTGGGCTATTTGGGTGTGTAATAGCAGGTAAAGCCCGGTGCTGGGTCCTCCAGGGAGTGCGAGTGGCAGAGCTGCTGGTAGAATCCAGCGCCTGGGGGCGGGGGAGAGCCCTGCGCGCAGGCGGAGTTAGCAAGAGGGGCGGGCACAGAGCTCAGAGCGGTGGCTGTGGTGGCGACAGCAGGTGGGTTGCATCGGGTCTTGCGCGGATGGGCTCGGGCGGAGAGCAGCTGAAAGCTCTGATTTCTGGGCACAGGGTCTCGCGCAGCTGGCTGGGGCGGTGGCGGCAGCCGCGAGTGTCAGAGCGCCAGCAGGCGCACCGGGTCTTAGCTCCGGATCCGGAGCTCAGGGCCCAGGGAGCCCCAGCTTCACAGCCGCTGATATTCTGGCCTGCCCAGTGGGGGGTGATTGCCATTCTTTGAGGCCAGGTGGTCACTTGAGCCCCGTCCCCGGTTGCACAGCTGCTCCTGTTCCGGGTCTCGACTTCCTGGCCCAGCTCCCAGGAAGCCTCCCATTTCACCTTGCTCTTGGATCTCAGACCACAGAGCTCTTCCCAGACTCTGGCTTTCCCTACCCTCAGGACTACCTAGCTGGTACCCATGTGGGGCTTTGCCTTATCCCCTCCACTGCCCTAAAGGCAGACAGGACCTCCAGGCTTCCTTGTAACCTCCTGTCCTCTGGCCTGACTCCTGTTCCATCCCAACCCTCCAGCAAGCCCATGATGCAGGTGTCCTAGGTCTCCAGAGCTAAGATAAGAAGAGCACTGGGGAGAGGCAGTACAGAAGGAACTGAAAGTTGGCTAGTACCTGGCTGAACAACTTGTCATTTCCCTCTGTCTGACCCTACTAGATTCCAGTGGCTAGTTTGGTGCACCTCTTAACTACCCATTATGGCCTGGGGACTGCACAGTGCTGCTAGCTTGGCACACTTCTGCCAGAAGCTGAATCGACTGAAGCCTCTGGAGGATTCCAGCATGGAGACGTCTCTGCAGCGCTGCCTGTCCACCTTGGACCTGACCCTGCTGGGTGTGGGTGGCATGGTAGGCTCAGGCCTCTATGTGCTCACGGGTACCGTGGCCAAGAATATGGCTGGTCCTGCTGTACTCTTGTCCTTTGGTGTGGCTGCTGTGGCCTCCCTGCTGGCAGCCCTATGCTATGCAGAATTTGGAGCACGTGTACCCCGCACAGGCTCTGCATACCTATTCACCTATGTGTCCATGGGCGAGGTGTGGGCCTTCCTCATAGGCTGGAATGTGCTCCTAGAATACCTTATTGGGGGTGCTGCTGTGGCCCGTGCCTGGAGTGGCTATCTGGATGCCATCTTTAGCCATGGCATTCGCAACTTCACTGAGTCTCAAGTGGGTGTCTGGCAGGTGCCCTTCCTGGCCCGCTACCCAGATTTCCTGGCTGCTGGCATCCTACTTCTAGCTTCTGCTTTTGTCTCCTGTGGAGTCCGTGTCTCCTCCTGGCTCAATCATACCTTCTCAGCCATCAGCCTGATGGTAATTATCTTCATCATCATCCTGGGCTTCATCCTTGCACACCCCCACAACTGGAGTGCTGAGGAGGGTGGCTTTGCACCCTTTGGCTTCTCTGGTATCATGGCAGGAACTGCTACCTGCTTCTATGCTTTTGTGGGCTTTGATGTCATTGCTGCCTCCAGTGAGGAAGCCCAGAACCCACGGCGGGCTGTGCCCATGGCCATTGCCATCTCCCTTGGCCTGGCAGCTGGTGCCTATATCCTCGTCTCCACCGTACTAACCCTCATGGTGCCCTGGCACAGTCTAGACCCTGACTCAGCACTTGCTGATGCCTTCTACCGGCGGGGCTACAGCTGGGCTGGCTTCATCGTGGCAGCTGGCTCCATCTGCGGTAAGGGGTCCTTCTGGGCAAGGTGGGAGAGAACAGGGCAGTGGGGTCCTGTCCTGAGCCTCTTAGAAAATCTCCACCTTGGGGCTGGGGTTGTGACTCAGTGGTAGAGTGCTCGCCTAGCATGCACGAAGCACTGGGTTCGATTCTCAGCACCACATAAATGTAAAATGAAGATATTGTGTCCACCTAAAACTTAAGAACAAATATTTTTAAAAAAGAAAATAAAATCTCCACCCATGCCTCAGTCTTACCAGTTGCATAATGGGCCTGGGAAAGTGCTAATTATTGGAGACTTTCACCTAGGCTTGTTGGAAGGACTCCTCCTATGGGGCTCCTCCCCCCAAATTGTACATAGAATGTCAATTCTGGGCATGTACTTACAAGCCTTCTCCTGGGCAACGGGGCTCAGTTTTTATCAGGTTCTCCAGTGGGCCTATGACTTAAATTGGAGTGCCCCATTCCTGGAGCGGGGGAATGATAATCTTGTACTTCATACACATTCATACTAAAAGCCCAGACAATCTCATCCCTGTGTCTCCAAGGAACCACCTAGGCCCCAGACCCCAACAGTGACCCCTGATAGGTTTAACTATCATGATGACCATTGCCCTACCCTCTGCTACAGCCATGAACACCGTTCTACTCAGCAACCTCTTCTCCCTGCCGCGTATCGTCTATGCCATGGCTGCAGATGGGCTCTTCTTCCAGGTGTTTGCCCGAGTGCACCCCCGGACACAGGTGCCCGTGGTGGGCATCTTGGTGTTTGGTGTCCTTATGGCTCTCCTGGCACTGCTGCTGGACCTTGAGGCGCTGGTCCAGTTCCTGTCCATTGGCACTCTATTGGCCTACACCTTTGTGGCCACCAGCATCATTATTCTACGTTTTCAGAAGGTTTCTCCACACAGCTCCCCAGGCCCAGCCAGCCCTGGCCCTGCAGCCAAGAAGTATGATTCTTTCTCAGACCACATACAGCTAGTAGGTGCTGTGCAAACCTCAATTTCTGAGCCTGGGCAGCTTCGACCAGCCCTGAGGCCCTACCTGGGATTCCTTGATGGATGTAACCCTGGAGCTGCTGTGACTTGGGCACTTAGCATCCTGGTGATCTCAGCCATCACCCTGGGCTGTGTGCTAGTCTTCGGAGACTCGGCCTTGCACCTCCCACGGTGGGGCTACATCTTGCTGCTCCTGATTAGCAGTGTTGTGTTTCTGCTTTGCCTTCTGGTCCTGGGGGCTCACCAGCAACAGCAACAGCAAGACACTTTTCAGGTACCTTCCCCATTCCGGACCTGCTCAGTCTTACCCCAGCCAGCTCCCTTTGCCCCTTCTTTTTCTGCCATTCCATAATGAACAAGGGCTCATGAGGTTGGGGGAGGCCAATCCATCCATCCTCACTTTATTCATCTTTCCTCATGGTGAGGGAGTACTTTCTCTCCAAAATTTCCAGAGACAGATGGAGGCTCTATGAAATTTCTGTGAAGTCAGGCTCGGGGCTGGCAGGTCTTTCCTAATGTCCATCTCAGCCTTGTCCTTATGCCCTCAGATCCCCTTGGTGCCTTTGACTCCAGCCCTGAGCATTCTCCTCAATATCTGCCTCATGTTGAAGCTGAGCTACCTGACCTGGCTGCGCTTCTCCATCTGGCTGCTGATTGGTGAGTGGGGGCAAGGCTAGGACACCTAGTGTGCTACAGTGGGAGGACAAAGAAGGCAGGTAGGGCAGGGTCCTATCCCTCAGGCTCTTTTCAACCTTGCAGGACTCGCTGTGTATTTCGGCTATGGCATTTGGCACAGCAAAGCGAACCAGCAGGAGCCACCAGAGCTGACCACCACACGATATGTGGTATTCTCCAGCAGCAGCCTAGAAGAGACAGTGCAGGCTGTGCAGCCCACTAGCCAGCCACCAGCTGAGGAGCCTGGTTGCATGGAGTAGCCGACCAGTCTGTGAGGCTAACTCATGATTGTTTTGCTCTCTCCATCTCCTCAAGAGGCCAGAGGAGCTGGGAGCTGCTTCTGTTCAGGACACCTTGGGTTTGTAGGCTCTGGTGGTTCTCAGGACTTTAGGACCCTAATCCAGATACTAAATTTCTCTGGTCTTCAGATAATGGGTCTTGGCCAGTGTTGGTGCAGTGAGCTCCTTGCTCAGCACCTTCCTGTTTCTGATCAATTCCAGCTATTTGGGTGGGTAGGTAGGGTGGGCAGGGAAGAGGTCGCAGCCCCAGGAATTCATAATAATAACTGTTCAGCCAGCCATATGGTTAGCCACTATGTCCACTGTGGAATTCTCTGTGATACTGAGTCCTCACCTACCTTTGGGAATCGGGCAATTGTTCCAAATCCATAATAAAGACTGAAACTTCTACAAAGGTTACCTTGGGACCACCTTGAATCAGGGACACAGCCAGGCCTGGGTTCAGGGATTCTCCCTCAGGCCAGTACTCCCTACCTGACTTAGAGGGAAGCAACATACACCAGACATATAGGGGTCAAACGGGCAAGAATATTCCCCACTTATCCTCTGGCAGATAGATCAAGGAGCAGAGCCTGGGCCTCAAAGAGGTTGCCTAGAAAAGGCAGTGGGGTTCCAGAGTTCTCTGGGTTTTTCAGGGCTCCCAGAGAGCACAGCATATTCCTGAGGCCTACCTAGGAACATCAAAACACTCCCGCACACAGGCATATACCCTCTTGGCACAAACATACCCTAAGACATATGGCTCACATGGATATCCTGCATGCCCATGTGCAGACTGAAATGACAGCTGTTTCTAGGCTTAGGCCCAGCCCACAGCTCACTTTTGTCTCTATCTGCCCACTCTGCCAGGGCTTTGAAATGAAGGCTGGAGATGTTGCACTTATGACTAGTTCACACGGATGTTCATGGGTATACGAGAACCTGGGCCTGCCTTCACTACCTTCCAGCCCACTTGGTAGAAATGGGAGCCCTAGCCTGGGGAGGAGGGAGTTCCCAGAAAGGCCCTAGGCCCACACTATACCCTCCCACTGGTGTTCCTTGTCTGTACTATGCCCACTGTAGTTGCATCCCCCTTCCTATTTCTTCTTGTAAGGACCACACAGGAAGCTGCTGGTTTTGGCAAGCTTTACTCCAACAGTCATATCATCTTTCTCTGGACCTTGAGAACAATCAGGTACATGTGATCCACCTCAGATAATCAGGCTTCATGAGCCATGCCTTCCCAGTCTACCCCTTTGGAGCCCACCTGCCCATGAACACCGCTGCCCTGGACATTGAAAAGCAGCAGGGACCCCCAAGAACTGAGGCCAGATGACTCCAGGTGCTAGTCCAACTTCAGCCTTAGCCTTGGCCCTCAGTGATAAAGGCATCCATGATAAAGCAACCTTTTACCTCCCTTAGGTGAGTACTTCCAAATCCCTACCCTCCCCAGGGACCTACATTCCTGCATCCCTATCCCTCCCATCCTGACCTTGGGTCCTGGGACTTGGGGAAAATCTCCATCAGGCAGGACTTAGGCCCCACAGGAAGATTCCACAGCCAGAACCTGGCCAGCCTTCAGCAGACCTCAGTGTCCTTTATTAGGGACATTCCTTACAGCCACTGTGCTCTGCCTGGGTCAGGATTAGGGCCTCCTGCATGCATATGCCTCAGGCTAAGGTGGGCAGGTACCCAGACAGGTTATTGAGTATGACATGGATGGCAGTAAATTCTAGATATACAGCCTCTCCGCCTCCAGGGCTCCTAGGAAACCTGGTAATCAGATTCTGGGGTGGGGAGTTAGCCTGGGTGATCTCCAAAGGGATATACAGAAGAACAAAGGACCCAGTGACCACCAATTCAGTCCCATTGTCCTCTTTTCCCTCTTTAAGCCCTCCAAAGCCCAAAGGCTGTCACAGGGAAGTGGCAGGTGGGCGTAAGCTAAGCATATGTGGGCCCTCTTTCGATGATGTAATGAAGATGTTCAAAACTCACCCCACCTCCATGGATTGTGTTCTACCACATGTCTCTAAACAAAACTGGCTTCCATAGCTCCCCAGGCAGCACCCTGCTATGGCTGCACTCAGGAGGTAAAGTCTGCCTGGGAGTTCAAGAGTGGCATTTTCCCTCCACTCCCTACCCCAGTTCTGTTAAGTTTCTCATCCTTAAGGTCCCCAAGTCAGGACCTCATCCTTCCCAAACAACAGGGAGTGCTACAGGCCTCAGGAATAATCAGGTAAGTGGGTACCAGAGCCCAGACAGGACCACCCTAGCAACCAAGTCTGGCTCCCAGTAGCAGCTACCATGGGGGCAGGTGTTGGCCCTATCTAAGGCACCTGAGCAATGGGGCTTGCAGGTGTGAAAGCTGGCTTGGTCCATTCAGGATTGGCAGCCTCCTTTGGTGCTTTTGCCTAAAGACAAGACAGTAGGTCAGGGATCTGGCCAACATCCCCTAGAATGTGGCAGAACCCAGTGTTCAGGCAGAGTGGCCTCAACTCTGGAGCTCCAACTCTGAGCCCTCACTCACCTCCTCATACTTTGTACTCCAGTAGAAATGGGCTTCTCTATCCACATACAGCAGCAACAGGTCACAGAGGAAGGTGATCTGGGAGAGACAGGGCCCACCATGTTCTGCCCTCCTGCTACCACCCAAGCCTCATCCCGAGACACAGCATGCAGGCTCAGAGGGTTCTAGCAGACCCAGGCAGGTGCTCAATGCAGCCAGAGGGAGCCCGTGCGTGGTAGTTGGACTTACCACACCTAGCCAAGCAGCTCCAGTGCCCACCGTGATGGCTGTGGGGATAAGCCCGAACTTCCCTGCCTGAGAAAGACCTGGGCTGAGCGTCTCAGGCTATGACTTTTACCACAAGCCTCCTTCAGGCCCATCTGTCTGCCTTCCCCAAGCCCTGGCTCCATCCCTACCTGCCCAGTGACGAGAATGTCAAAGCGGATCCCGTAGAGCTTGAGCAAGCTTCGAGCTTCCACACCTGGGGCTTCCCACCAGTGACTGGCTGTCCTGGGAGCAGAAAAGAGGGCTCTGGTGGTCTGCACTGCCCATTCACAGTTTGGTCTGGTTTTCTTGGGCCTCCAATTTTACTTATGTATTTGCCCCATAAACTCCAAGACCAACCCTGAGTCCTAGTCTTGGACCTACATAGTTGCTAAGAACATAGGGAGAAACAAACCAGGACTGGACCCAAGAAAGCTCCCTGCCCTCTGGAAAAAGAGAAGCCAGATGAAGGTACAGTGAACTATGATATGGGATCTAATTCCCAGGCCTAATGGCTATGTGCACACATAGGAGTTTCTATGTGCAAATCAAGGTGACACTAGATGACAAAGGACTAGTAGGAGGGGGAGATCTGTGTAGGAAGACAAAGACATGACAATAAGTTCATGTTGAGTGAATCCTCAATTGTAAAATATAAAGTCTTTTTTTTTTGGTAGTAGATATTTTAACCCAGGGGTGTTTTACCACTAAGCTATATCCCCAAACTTTTTTTGGTTTTTGTTTTTTATTTTGAGAGAGAGGGTCTCATTAAGTTGTTTAGGGCCTTGCTAAATTGTTGAGGCTGGCCTTGAACTTGGGATCCTCCTGTCTTAATCTCCCAAGCCACTGAGATCACATGTGTGTACCACCACAACTAGCTCGAAAAATATAAAGATTTAGCACATTATTAGCACCTCTGGGAAAATAGAAATATTAGATTTAATCTGTTAGTGTTCAATTTCTTGGGTGTGACAATAGAATGGTCACATGGAAAAGATCCTCATGCTCAGGATCGTGTTAATAAGGGTGAATGTCTACCTGCCATTTTCAAATAGTTTTGTGTGTATGTGTGTGTTTGGTGATGGTTCAAGAGTTCTACCACTGAGCCACCCAAAATAGTTCTGTCTGAAATCTATCTAAATATATCCAGATTACTCTAAATAAAAGTAGAGAAAGCAAACATAGCCAAATGCCAAAAAGAAAACAAAAACTGGTAAGCCCAGGTGAAGGGTATATGGGTGTTCACAGTACTTTTCTTCTTTGAACTTTTCTATAAATTTTTTGAGAAGTTTTAGGTAAAACCATAAGTGGAAACAAAACAAAAGCCTCCCATGCCTTGGAAGGAAGATGCTGGAGGCCAGGTGGGGTGGAGAAGGAACCATGCCCAGGTCTAGAAGTGAAGAGTCCACACTATGCAGAAGGGATGGGGACAGATGGGGTGGAGGACAGGGAAAGGCTGGATGCAACCTGTGCTGGAGGATGAGGAACTGAGAATACCTTCTTCAGCCCATGGGCCACCCCTCACAAATAGAGTGGGGTATCCAGAGGGCAGGACAAGCAGTGGTCTGTCCTCACACTGGCCTGTGAACAGCAAGTAGACACTGGGGGCTATGAGGCTCATACCTGAAGTTGTAACTCTTCTCCTGCAGCTGGAAGGAGTAATGGGGCCAGCAGTCAGAGCCCCCGGTGTCCAGGTCACAATCCCAGTGGATTCTGATGCCTACAGCACCACCCTGCACACAACACATCTCTGCTTACACAGCACTAGTGGGTGGACCTGAGGCCCTCTCCACTAGCCCTTAAGGAACCCTGCCTCCAAGAACCCACCAGCAATGCCAGGTCTTCAAAGTCCCCACCAGCTGCAGCTATAAGGTCTCCTATGCCAAACACGGGGCAGTAGGGGCTGGAGAGTGCATCATAGCGACAGTGCTTAAAATAGGCGGAGTCCCAGGTATCTAAGGCATTGGTCCTGCAAGGAGTGGAGATAGGGAATCAGATGATCCAGGGGGTCATGGAGGACCTGGGGTTAACCAGCACCAGCCCATACATACTTGGAAAAGTTGAATTTGCTGAAGGTGACAGTGTTTTTGATGAACAGCGTGAAGTTCTTGGCATGGATCAGCAGGGGCCTCCTATAAGTAAAGGGGACAATGTTAGAATTTTGCCTGTGCTGTTGCCTTGCCCTGGGAGTCAGTAGGAGACTTACTTGGGCACAGTGCCACTCTCCACTGGGCACCAGCTCTGGATTTCACAAGTCCTGTGGGTCCCGTTGAATACCACACATTGACCTGTTTTTATGCCTTGAAAACAAAAGATGTACTCTAGGTCCTCAAATCTCCACAGGGCATGAGGAGGATGTGGAACAGATTTGTTGATAGAACCACACCCAGAGTCCCCTCCCACCCCCTGCCCTGGTAGAGATTCTGAAAGACAGAGCTTATAGTTACCATGGCTGTGTGTCCCTGTCTCCCCTTTAGGACAGTCCTCATTGACCCAGCAGTTAGCCAGCGGGATAGAGGGGTGCTGAGGTAGACAAGAGACTCCAGTCACCAAAAGCCCAAGGGGGTGCCTTCCCTTAGCCCTATAGACTGCAAGGAGATGCTTCTCCCCATGTTAGCCTCCTGTGATACCCTGGCTTTGGAAGTACACGGCACACATGGCTGGTGACCCAGGACTGGTAGAGGAAGTAGGGACCCACTCTCCCAGGCAATCTTACCTCTGGGCATTTGCCCTGAACTTGAGCTGGCGTCACAAGGAAATTGGTGACCAAGAAGAACACGTTCTCTCCCTAGGAGGCAAATCTCAAGGTTGGTCCCTACTTGGTTCCCTCACCTGTGGAGGCCAGAAGCTGACAGCCTGGTTTTGTTTGTTTGGGTGGTGCTGGGAATGGAACCCAGGGTTTGCACATGAACACTCTATTGCTGAGCTACATCCTTAGGCCTAGGAGTCTAGTTTTTGAGGGAATAGTCTTGGCCCCATCTAGTAACCAACACTGTCCCTCAGGAAAATGTCTCCAGTGAGGCAGGTGCAAACAGGAAGTTGGCTGTATTTCTGACCATTTCTGAACCTAGGGATCCTCATGTCCATGTTTATCTTTTAGTTACCAGTTTATTTCTCACATTTATTCTCATTCACTCAACTTGAATTTTCCAAGAGTCTCCTGCTTCTAGGCACTAAAAACAAAGACTTGAAGAGAGGTGGACCCCTTATCACATGCACATCAGAGCTGGCAATGGCAAGGGGTTGGGAGAGCAGATGGTAAGCTTGACCTGGGGTCAGAGTGGCTAAGGACATGCAGAGGTGCTGCTCCTGAGAGCATGGTGCACTTAGGAAAGGAAGATAAGGGCTAGGCAGAGGGCATTGGGGCATGGCAACAGTTAGGATATGGAGGGTCTTGGTGGTCACCATCATGGGAGAGGACCCTTCCCTGGGCAGAGAGCAGTGGTTGAGGTTCTGATGATGTTAAGCGTAAAAGTTCATCCTGGCTATTGCTTATGTGTACCTGGTGGCAGGGAATAGGGGAGAGAATCAAAGGGCCCACTCAGAGACCAGGCATGGTAGAGGTTGCAGTGAAAAATAATGGGAGGGACAGGAAAGCATCTGGCTTTAGTACTGGTGGGTGTCACTGCTCTCGTTAGATGAATAGAAGTGAGAATGCCAGGAGAGGTAGATGATTTATCTTTGGACATGGTGGGTGAATCTGGAATCAGCTTCTATCCAGGCAGGTGGTCACTGGGGCTATAATTTGAGCATCAGTGGAAGAGAGGTGGACATTGGGGATATAGACCAGCTGGGTAGAGGGATTAGGGACAGAAAGCCCAAGAGGGTAGAGGAGGAACACATGACAATGATGCCTCAGGTGAGGAAGCTCAGCCTTTGGACCTTTATAAAGGAAGTTACTTTGGCTTGGCTTCCCTTCTTGTTCACCAGGAAACCTCCTACACAATTCCTGAAGGCCCCATCTAGGCAACACTCCTCTACATGCTCCTTCCCAAACCAGATGCACTCTGATATCACATGCCTCTCTTGTGCATGATTTGTATTAGAGCTGTCAGTAGGGGAAGGACTCATGCCACCTGAAGCAGCACTAGGGACCCACCTGTGGTGGTTTCACGAAGTCAGCCACATCCCACAACCGGTTCCCGAGCTCCTTGATCTGAGTCACAGAAACTCCTTTGAGTTTGGTGATGACAGAAATCTGGGGGTCCAGGTCCCGTTCTTGGTAGCCTTTTTTTGCAAGGAGGGCCCATCTGGGGAGGAGATGATGGACAGTATGGTATGACTCTAGCAAAAGTGAACAGTGGAGGAACTGGATCCTATAAGCTCAACTCCCTTCCCATACTCCATAGGCTCCTAGCCCAGCATCAAAGCCTTCTGACTCCTCTCCAGCATCAACTGTCACCACAGATACCCTGAACAGACCAAAGCCTTGGACAATCACTGGAGAGTCAGCATCTACCACAGTGATTATTTTTAATATTTATTTTTTTTAGAGTTGGACATAATACCTTTATTGTACTTATTTATTTTTATGTGGTGCTGAGGATGGAACCCAGGGCCTCACACTCGCTAGGCGATCGCTCTATTACCCCAGCCCCCACAGTGACTTTCATAGACAATATCCTTACTCCTACCCCAGCTAGACATAGCTCCCTCCTTAAAGACTCCTCTGACCTCCCAGCTAGAACTGGTGGTCTCTCTAGGGGGCCTCAGTGCTCCAGCTCTCATGAATCTAAAGGACTACTGCCTTCTGCCTCACCGGGGTTCCTCCCAGGCAGGAATGGGACTGATCTTCCTGTGTCCAGAGCCCAATATGAGACTAGGAATAAGGCCCTGGAAAGAAGGCAGGAGGGCAGGCAGGAACACAAACAGAGATTATTCTGAAAGCCTTGGAATGGACAAAGATCCCTCATTCTGTTTACTTCCAACCCTGTCCCAATCTGCTACCCCCCCACCACCAGCCTGGTCCCTAAAGAGTCAAATTCTCAACCCTCAGCCCAATAGGACCAGCCATGATCCCTTTAGCCAACCTGACTAAAAACTATTTTCTCTTACCCCACCACGTAGGCCACAATCCCGAGCTGCAGCAGCCTCTGTAAGGCGCCCACCCGCCAGTTCCTGGTCATCACATACTTCTCTGTCTTGTAATCCAGAAGCCCCCAGCCTGCTGAGGCCCCTGAGGAGCACATGCCCCCAGTTTCTGCTGGCTACTGGTGCAATGAGTCAGCACAGCAGCTGCAGCCACAGCTGATCGGTAGGCAAAGAGTGCATCCAAATGGGCCAGGCCAGCTGTTGTTAAAGGGACACCTCCATTTAGGGCAGGAACTAGCCTCCACCCCCCAGTTCTGGACTTGGTCCCAGGCCCAAGCTGTCCTGGGCCTCTCATACTCTCTAGAGTTCCTCTGCTGATCCCTAGGTACTCCAAAAGGAGCAGCTCTGCTCCTGCCCTCCTGCTATACTTCCTTATAGGGTGGGGAAGAACAGGTGGCATGGGGTCAGAAGGAGCTCAGAGGAGGAGCCAAGGCAAGCTTCATAAAGAAATCCCTCTGAAGGCTGGGATTATGGCTCAGTGGCCTAGCACATGTGAGGCCCTGGGTTCAATCCTCAGCACCACATGAAATAAATAAATAAAATAAAGGTATTGGGTCCAACTAACTACAACTAAAAAATAAATATTAAAAAAAAAAGGAAAAGAAATCCCTCCGAGGGCTGGGTATGTGGCTCAGTGGTAGAGTGCTTGCCTAGCACACATGAGGCACTGGGTTTGATACCCAGCATCACATAATAAATAAATAAATTAATTAAATAAAGCTATTGTGTCCATGTATAACAAAAAAAAATTTAAAAAGAAGAAATCCCTCTAAGCTGATATGTGCAGATTTTGAAACACTGCAAGAAAAGTTGGGTAAAGATGTAGGGTGGAGGGTCTGGGGTTGTGGCTAAGTGGGAGATCACTTGCCTAGCATGTGTGAGGCACTGGGTTCGATTCTCAGCGCCACATAGAAAGAAAGAAGGAAAAAAAGAAAGAAAGATCTATCATCAACTAATAATAATTTTTAAAAAAAGATGTAGGGTGGAGAGAACAGCATAGAAAAGGCCAAAGCATGAGAGAGAACTGAGAGCCACAGACTGAGAATGTGGTCTAGCTCCAGAGAGGAGGGTAACCGGGCTCTGCAGGTTCCCCATGCCCTCCCATACAGCTGTCTCCCAACCGCCAAATACAGTGACTAAAGCACAAGCTCTGGGGTCAGGTATGACTCCCTTTTGGTGAAAAAGGGAGATGCTAGAATTTCATCGGGTGGCAAGAATGAAGAACGCGCCTGGCCGGTGGCACATGCCTGTTATCCCAGCGGCTTGGGAGCCTGAGGAGAATCACGAGTTCAAAGCCAGTCTCAGCAACTTAGCGAGGCACTAACAACTCAGTGAAACCCTGTCTCTATAATACATATATACATACATATACACATATATACAGCCATATATATATATGGCTGCGGATGTACCTCAGTGTTAGTGCCCCTGAGTTCAATCCCCTTTACCTAAATAAATAAATAATAAACAACGCCTTCAAGGTGCCCAGCCCTACGCTAGGCCAGTGGAGAGTACTTTTAGGGGCCCACTCAAGGTCTGCGCAGGCCAGTCGCAGTTTCTGCAGCAACCAAAACACCGGGTTGCCCGGGCAACAGGCTAGTGGCAGCGCGCCTGTATTAGCCGAGGGGAGAGTCTGTTGTCTGTATGCCACATTCGATTGGCCAGCGAGGGCGTAGGATCCGCCCACATTCCCAGTGCTGAGCTGCGCTATAGCTGAGAATCCGCTCACTTTCTAGGTGCGGCGCTAAACTGCCCCTGCCTCAGAGCAGACCTCTGCAAAATGGGTATAACCATGAAGGGTCCTTGTGAGAGGCCTGGGGAAAATGAAGATCAGAGGGAAGAGGTGATAGCACCCGCTGGGTGTTTTGCAGGGGTCCCGGAGGCCGACAAGGATTCAGAAGCAGATTCAGACTCTGACCTGGAGACAGAAGGTGCTCTGAAGCAGGGACCTAGGCCTGACTTCTCACCTTGGGGGCTTCTTGGCAGGTGTGGAGGGAAGTGGGCTGAGACTGAGTGGGAGCTCATCGTTTTGTTGGGTGATTTCAGGGCAGCCAGTGGTCTCTCAGGCCATGCCCACCCTTCTGAGCGACATCAGGAGGTCCATCATTAAGAATATACTTCCAGGGCTTGGGATGTAACTCAGTGGTAGAGTGCTTGCCTGGCATGCATAAGGCCTTGGGTTTTATCCCCAGCATTGCAGAAACAAAACAAAACAAGAACATGTTTTCAGAACAAAGAAATGCAAAATCCTGCCAACGGATCTGAAATATGAGGACAAAAGTCCCACCAGTACAGGAAGAAATGCCTCTAGAAGGGAAACAGCCAGGATAGTAATGGAGGGTAAGGAGGGAGGTGGGTGTGCTAGTGAAGGGCTCCACATTTACCTCCCTTGTTTCCTTCCAGGCATACATGGACTTAGAGAACCCATCAGGGATGCCCTCCACTTGGGGTCTTGCCGGGCCTATAGCATTGTGCCCACCATCTACTTTCTGAACCAAGGCTGTGCCCCAGAATTGAAGCTGAGGCACCGTGGTCTGGGACCCCAGGTACCTGTGGTGGGACTCTGGAGTCAGGGGTGGTTGGGGGGGACCTAGGAGATAATAGCCATGGAATGCCTCTCATTGAGACCATCCCACACACTCCTCAGCTGTCCTTTTTGCCAGGTATATCCCATCCCCTATATCTGGGTAAAGATGGAGGATGGGACACATCAGCCATGAAGGTTGGGGAGCATACAGGCTCCTAACCTGCTGGAGGGTCAGGGAAGACTTCAGAGGGTGAGATCTGATTGGAGCTTAGAGGGAGAAGAAGGTGTCCCTTCAGAATGTGGGAAAGTGAAGGCTTTTGGGTTGGAGGGCACTGAGCAGGCTGAGCCCTGGAAACATGAGCCCAGAGATGGCTAGATGTGTTTGCTGCCCTCAGCCCTGAGAAGAACCTGACCTCTCAGGACTCTCTGCTCTGTTCCAGGGGGCATGGGCTCTGGCTTCCATGTTGACCTCCAATCCCTACATTAAACGGCTGGATCTTCAGGACAATGGGCTCTGTGCGGCTGGTGCAGAGGCCCTGGCCTATGTCCTGAGCAAAAACAGCAGCATCTGTGGTAGGTGCTGAGCCTGGGGCAGGTGGGCAGGCTTGAGTTCTTTCCTTTACTTTTCTCAGTGATGTGGAAAGTCAGGCCTCACTTGGGGTCCACTGGTGGCTAATGGGGGGGGGTGGTTGCTTAACACAGGATGCAGCACATGAGGGTGGAGTTAAACCCTCTGAGGATCCAGCCTGTGGAGCAGTCAATGCTGGATGCCATTTCTTTCCTGACCAGGTCTACCCTACTCACTCCCCTCCTCCATTGACCAGCACACCCTCTCCACTATAGGGTAGACTCCCAGTGCCTGAATGCAGGGTAGAGGAGAGAGGTAGAGACCAGACTGTGCAAGAAGCAGGAGGGCAAGGTAGGAATTCTCTGAGGCTGGATCCATATGCCAGCTCTGCAGGCAGACTGGACAAGCAACTAAATCTTGTTGAGCCTGTTTCCAGCCTGTGAAGCGGCCCCAACAATACCACTTAGCCATTGGGTTTTGGTGAGTATTAAATAAAACTGAGTATATAAAGTGGTCACCAGAGTATCTGGTCCATGAAAGAGCTCCTTTCCTGGCCACCTGGGCTAGTATCATCAGTCCCTGGCAATAGAACAGAGACCAGTTAACAATGTGGTAGCTATTCCTCTAACAACATTCTCCACAGTACCACAAGGTAGGTAGCTTTTAACCCTTTGGCAGAGAAGTTTATAATCAGGCGAGGAGGGAGAGGTCAGGGGCCCAAGGGGACCTAGCCAATGGGTGGCAGAGCTGAAACTCTAGGATAGTCCAACCTCAAAGTTTCTTCCTCTGCCTCAGGCATGGAGGTTTGGGATATGTAGGAATGGGGATAAGGGTGGTCTTGACTTCAGATCCCACTGACTGAAGAATGATGCTGGCCCCCAGATGTGGATCTGTCAGAGAACCAGATTGGAGTGGCAGGGGCCCAGGCTCTTTGTGCTGCCCTCAAAGTGAACCAGGCTGTGCAGAAGATACAACTGGCAGGAAATAGCCTGGAAGAGAAGGCAGCCCAGTACCTTGCTGAACTCTTGCTGGTCCACACAGGCCTGAAATCCCTGGATGTCAGCTATAACCAGCTGAATGACCAAGCAGGTAATCCCTGGTCTGGGCCACCATGGGACATTACAGCTCATCTTCCTTTGATGATAGGGGAAGGAGGTGGCAGAACCATAGTGAGCATTCATGTCTGGTTCTGCTCTCTCTATATACCTTGGCCCACTCCTTGTCCACTCTAGGTACACACAGCCTTTAACTCATTCCACAAATATCTCATTACCCACTGTTGTGTATACTTAGCACTGGTTTGGCCACTAGGGATCTAGAAGTAAACAAAACAAAGGCCCTGTCCTCAAGAAACACATATTAACAAGATAATTATTAGTAATTATTGGTGCTCCAAAAGAAACAATCTAAAACAAGAAAAGAGTGGGGACTCCTTGCTTTAGAGGGATGGCCAGGGAGGCTTCTTTGAGTAGGTGATATTTAAACCTAAATGAGGTTTGCGAAGAGGTCATGGCAAAACCAGAGGGCGAGAATTTCAAACAAAGAAACAGTGAGTATACAGGCCTGTTTCTCAAACTGGTAGATAACCAATATGACTAGACTAGTGATCCAGGGGAGAGTGACTAGGCTATGGTATAAAGAGTCAATGGCTGCAAGTCATGGCTGAACATGTGAAAATTTTATTTGAGATACTGTGAAAAACATAAGTGGATTGCTTGATCTCTTTCTCTCATGCCCCAGGGCTTTTGCATGAGCAGTCTGTTTGCCAGGAATATACATTTCTGTGCCTGTTCCCAAAGGTTCCAACCAATTATAAGAATCACCTATAAGCAGGCTGGGGATGTAGCTTGGTGTGGTGGAAAATTTGCCTAGCATGCACAAGAGAATCACCTAGAAGCAGGGTGCAGTGGCACATGCTTGTAGTCCTGGATAATCATGAGGATTGCTTGAGCCCAGGAGTTTGGGGACAGCCTGAGCAACACAGTAATACCCTCATCTCAAAAGAAAGGAAAATAAAAAGAATAACCTGGGATCCTGGACCTCTTGAATCATATTTTGAAAGGAATGCACATGTATTTCTACTTTAATAAATTCCCCAGGAGAAAATTGACTGATCTGGAAAGTTTTGGAATTGATAATCTGTCTCAAGCACCAGTGTTGGCCTGTGAGAATCAGCCCTGGAGTTACTGACACTCAGTTTGCCTTCTAAGAAAATTTTACTGTGGGAAGTCAGTGAAATTAAAGGAGAAGTTTATTTCAGATTTTGGCAAAATATAGGTGTCTTTCCAGACCGTCACAATTAGATGGAACTGGTTAGTTATATATTAGTATTTTTGTTACTATAACAAATACCTGAGATAATTAATTTATAAAGAGAAAAGATATATTTTGGCTTAGTTTTAGAGGTTTCAGTTCATGATGAATTGGCCCATTAGTTTGGACCTCTGATGAGGCAGCACATCATGGTAGGGGCATATGGCAAAGCAAAACTACTCAACTTATGGCCAGAAAGCAAAAAGGCTAAGAGGAAGAGGCCTAGGTCTCAAAATTCCCTTCAAGAACATACACTCCAATGACCTAAGACATCCCACTAGGCCCCACCCCTTAAAGGCTCTGTCACTTTCCAGTAGTGCCACTGTGGGGATCAAGCCTTTAAAATATGAACCTTTGGGAGCCACTTAAGATACAAACTATAGCAGAGGTCAAGCACCAGAGAGGCAGCTGGAAGGGAGGGGCTAGAAGCTAAGGAAATACAAATAAGTACACAAGGACGGTAGAATGGGGCCTGGGAAAGGAAAGGCCATTTTGTTTCTCCAAATAGGGACCTGAAGGTATGGCTGATTTCCTTGAGTGGTGAAGGAGTTTTGGTCTTAGTCTCCTCACCTGATCCATGGTGATGGCACCACCTACCTCAGGATGGCTGTGTAGATGATGGAGACCAAGCATTAGCTATTACAGATGTATAAAAGAAGAACCCTCTCACTGACCGGTAATTCAGCAAAGAAGGGATTACTATCAAGTGGATGACCACCACCCTCCCCTCTCAGCTCTGGAAGTGTCTGGGGAAGGAAGAAGTATCCATATCTATGAACCTGAAGGTATCAAAACTGGATTTGGGTGCTGAGTCTGGCTCTTGGAGCAGCAGTGCTTTGGCACAGGGAGCTCTCCAAGGTGCTAAAAGTGTCTGCCACTGTAAGTGCTAGCAGAGAAAGCTGGCTGAGTGCTCTTATTGATTCATTCATTTTTTCCTGTCTGCACTTCTTCAAACCAGCCTTACAAGACATGTAATAGGCTCTGGGCTCATGGGTAGGAGTCAAATTCTTATCTTCAAGGGACTCCTAGTCTGGTGACAGAGACCAGTCAGACAGAAAGAGATCTAGTGGCTACAGCCTGGAAGGATGGAAGGATTTCTGGTGTTCCAGGGATCCAGAAAGGCCCAAACCAGTCTGACCAGGCAGTACAGACTTCTCTAGTCTATGAAAAACCAGATTAGAAATATTAGAGCTGTTATAAAAGTAAGGAAGGGGATTCCAAAATAGGGGACGGCCAAGAGACATGTCAGAGCTGGTGCTCTGGAGAACTGGGAGCAGGTCAGACTGGCCAAGTACTACAGATAGAAAGCATTCTATAGGTTTGGGTTCTTCTCGTTCTACATGCTAAATATCCCTTTTGAGTTTCTCCATACACAGTCACTTCCTTTCAATATCTCCCTGGGCCTCCTCTCCATCACGGCTGTGCTAGCAGTCACCTCTTACCTATAGCAAGCACCGTTCAATGGGTCACCTGACCACTCACTGTCTTTGCTGATGTTTATCATGAGACACTAGGAATCTTGCTGAAATGCTATTTAGCCTTCCCTGATTCCTTGGCTACTATAGGGAAGAGCCTGAGCCCTGTCTTTGACATAGAATTACAGGCTTCTGAGCCTCTCTCAAATACCACCTACTATCTACCACATTGCACCTGCTTCCTTAACCAGCTCCATGCCCGAGTGTGTTTCTCAAATGTCTTTGCACTTCTGTTCTTTCCTGTGTCTACTGTACATTATGCTTGAATACATGAGTGGTGGATATTCGATTCAGAGTTATAATCACTTTTGTGACCCCATCAAGGCCACCACTCTCTTCCTATTCCTCCCTGTTTTAGTTTATATTAGCTTGCATCCCATTAATTTGTATTTATACCTCCCCTATTAAATGTGGATTCTGTGAGGGCAGGGCAAGCCTATGTTGACCTCATCTCTTAGATCCTCCTGCCCAGTAGAGATTCAGGCAACAGTATCATTTTTTAAAAAGGAATGAGCAGAGTTAATAACAAGATCTATCTTGGTGTTCCAAAGGAGAGACACTTGGACCAGCCTTGGCAGAAAACACAGGACTAACAGAGCTTAACATAAGCTGGAATCACCTCCGGGGTCCAGGAGCCATAGTGTTTGCCAGGGGACTAGAGGTATGAGACCCCCATCCAGTCAGTTCCTGGGGCCTCTCCTTTGCAGATCATCAGATATGAACCTTAGATCTTTTTTCTTATTCTTTATTTTTAGGGGGTGTGGGGAACCCAGGGCTTTGCACATCCTCAGTGCAAAATTAAAACTTTAAAGAGAACTTAAAGTGTGTTTGTTTTAGGTAACTTTTATTTTCCTCACCCCATCTGATGACTACAGTACACTGGGCCCACTATCTGGTCATTTACTGAAGGGTCCAGAGCTGAATGTCTTGTACCTTCTCCAGGTACAAACTCTTGGCTAGTAGGGAACATCTGTCAAGTCTTGTAGACGGATACAATACCTTTACATAATTTGTTTATTTTTATTTTTTAATGTTTAGTTGTAGATGGTCACAATACCTTTGTTTTATTTAATTATGTGGTATGGAGGATCGAACCCAGTGCCCCATGCATGTGAGGCAAGTGCTCTACCACTGAACCACAACCCCAGCCATAATTTGTTTCTTTTTATATGGTGCTGAGGATAAAATCCAATGGCTCATGTGTGCTAGGCAAGTACTCAGTGACTGAGCTAAAACCCTAGCCCCACATGTTTACTATTAACATAAATAGATGTTTTTCTGAAAGACACCATTGCAACCCTGAATGCCAGCACACTGACTCAAACGTCTCACTTGCTCCCCTATATATTGAGGTTCATACAACTTGAGAGTCGAGCCTCAAGCAATGCTAGAGTGGCCCAAGGCATATTTGATGTTCCTGTAACAACTACTTTTATGGAGGACCTCTAAGGCAAGGTGGTAGGTCAGGGTTTTTCTTCTCAGAGCACCAAAACATCTCTTCCCGTCAGACACTTGGGCAGATTTTATCCCGCAAAACTTTGCTGGAACCTGAGGTCCTTGGGGCTGCTTTATGTCTCAGGGTCCCTGATATTAAGAAAATCCAACATGGCAAGGTGTAGTGGTGTACACCTGCAATTTCAGAGGCTCAGGACACTGCAGCAAGAGGATGCCAAGCTCAAAACCACCCTCAGCACCTTAAAGAGAGGCACTAAGAAACTTAGCAAGACCCTGTCTCAAAATAAAAAATAAAAAGGGCTGGGGATGGGGCTCATTGGTAAAGTGACCCTGGGCAAAGTCTCTAACAACAACAACAACAAAAACCCCTCCCACATGCATGGAAATCAGATTACTGTGTCTTGGGACCCACTACTGCCTAGTCTCTGGGGGTCCAGAGACCACGGACCTGAATTCCAGCCTCCTCTGTTGTGCTTGGGACTGTTCAGCTCCATTAGCATCACCTCCAAACTATAGCTAATTAGGGGAAGTACAGCACTTTACCTCATCTCTGCTCTTTTTCATTTTGTCCCTATCATGCACCTCAAGCCTCTTGGGCTCTGAGGATATGGCCCCCATGCTTTCTGCACCATGAGATGTGGGTCCCAGATTCACTCTTTATGTTCTAGGCAAATATCTTCCTGAAAGTCCTAGACATCTCTTTTAATGGTTTTGGAGATTCTGGAGCTTCTGCAGTGGGTGAGGCCCTCAAGGCCAACAACGTGTTGGAGGAACTCAACATGAGGTGAGAAGTATAGGGGTATGACGCAGGGACCAGGGGCACTGTGATCTCACTGATATTCATTTTCGTTTCTGATCCTATGATAGTCTACTTAGGAAGGGGTTTGGCCACAATCCTAAGACATCCAGCTCCATCCTTCTCTCTCAAGATCATCACTAATACATTGTGACTCCTAATTCCTGCACTGCAGGCAGGTAGCTAGGGATCCCCAAATGTAAGTGTGAATGACCTTCAGAAGGCCTGGCACAGGATGGTGACCTGTGAGAACTTCCCTGCCTTTCAATGGATCCCCTTCTGGATGGAGCAAGGCCAGGCTTTTGTCTGGTGGCCCCACGGGCATGATTTGTTCAGCACATGGCTGCTTGGGGTCGGCTCTGAATGAAGTTTTTCTCGAGGCCAGGCAGCATCTCAGCCCTCAACAGGTAATGAATGGGGTAGGGGCAAACCCACTGGGGAAAAAGAGGCAGATGTCAGTTAAGTTATAGGCTGTTGTGGCTGAGCCCCTCCCCAGGGGCTGCACCTTGCAGGCAAGAGGCCCCACTCAGTCCAGCACATCTTTCCTCCCCATGGGAAGAGCCAAGGCTGGAGGCAGCAACAGGAAATGCTGAAATTCATGGCACAGCCAGAGCCAACATGTGAGAAGTCAGAAGTGGGACTGGCTCCTTAGAAAAGGCGGCCCCGAGTTGAAGCCCAAAGTTGATTTAGTAGGAGGAGAAGAGAGGATGAGAACAGGGTGATGGGTGATTATCGATAGTTGTTGTCATGGTGATGGGTAGGTAGCATGGAGCAGAACACATGGGGGCACCTGCTGAGCTCAAAGAGCCAGGGAGTGATGGCTGGTCTCCACCACAGGAGGGACACTCTGGCCTGTTGGCTGGGTGATCTCCCTGGAAACGGAGTCACCCGTGAGGCGGCATCATATCCATCTTTTTCACCCTGAGTTGCCTGAAAGACCTGGGCATGAAGGGAGGGTTGGAATGAGAAGCCAATCCTGGTGGATGCAACAGAATATCCAGAAGAGACACTGGGGCAATCAGTCCTGCACAGCTCTTTGGAAAGCTGCAAGAGGAATGAGTCTTTTTTGTCAGAGTTGCTATTGTGCGTTAATTGTACAAAGTAATGGTGTTCTGTGTGATATTTCCATACTCACACTGATCAGATCCAAACTTTCTTTTTCCACCTCCCCACTTCCAAACCCTTCCCAAACTCTAGTAGTCACTAACCTATTTTCAGGTTGATATTTTTTAGCTTCCATATATGAGAGAGAACATGTGACCCTTGTGTTTCTGTGTCTGGCTTATTTCACTTAACATAATGTTCTCTAGTTTCATCCATGCTGCTAATGACAAGATGCCATTCTTCTTTATGGCTGAATAATACTCCATGGTGTATAGGTACCACATTTTCTTTATCTGCTCACTTGCTGATGGACACCTAGACTAATCCTGTATCTTGACTATGACTCATAAGTTGTTTTTTTTTTTTTTCCAGCAACAACCGAATCTCTGCAATAGGAGCCCGGCACCTGGGGTTGGGCCTCCGGGTCAACCAGACACTAAGGATTCTTGTTGTGAGTGCTAACCTCAAGAGGGAAGCCTCAGCATAGACCTGCCCTGTGCCTGTCCACACAGATGCCTCATCCACACATCACCAAACCCAGGGCCACTGGATGGGCGGCAGTGTACACAGACTCCAGAGCCCTGATGGGGTCTCTGGGAGGGGGGCCTCCTGGATTACTTTTGCAACTACTTCTTCCTTTTGCCATTCAGTCTCCCACCTCTGGCCTGGCCCATGCTGAGATTCACATTCCTCTTCTGTCCACCTATCCCTCCCAGCACTATGTCCTCAACAACATCTTGCTGACTTTTCTTCTCTTCCTTTTGGGGTGCTCCTCTGTGGAAAGTTGCCAGAGAACCCCTCGCTTGGCATTCATCTCCCCTGCTCTTTCTCTTCTGTCCTGGAACCCAGGGTCAATGCAGGTGGATTTGTTTGCCACTGCTTAGACCTACCTGAGGCCTGTGTGTCTAAAGGGAGTTGCCTTTCTTCAGAGTTGCAGGTGAAAAGAGTCACTGAGCAGGGCTCAGAGTGGAAGATGGAGAAGGGAGGGAGCCAGGCAAATGTGGAGAAAAATCTCTGAGGTCTGCTGTACCAATAGCTTGTGCTAGGGGACAGTATCACCAGCACTGGGGACAGGGTTGGCATCTGGCTCTGCTCCCCATCTTCAGCCTTCCCAGGTCTTCTCTCATTAGCTTTCCCACTCCTTGCCCCTCAAAAACTGTGACCTCTTTCCCAAGCTTACATGCACCTCTCCAGCACTGACAGTCTCCTAATCACAATGAACTCTTGAGAGTTTGTCATGAATGCTTCACCTCCATCTAGGGGTTGCCTCTCAGTGGGAGAAACCAAGTCAGAAGATGGGGGCCAGAGCCTGACCCATGTCTCTTCCCCACACTTTCCCTCCAGTATCACCTCCAGCAGAGTGCTCAGGCTGTTGGTTCTTCCTTTTCTCCCTTTCTCAGGTTCTGTTAAGCTGTTAGTTTTCCCAGTTCTGTCCTTCCTTCCCATCTGCTGCCTGATGATCTTTCTAAAATGACAATGCCCCTGTCACTTCCTGCTAAACCTTTCACTTCTGATAAATCCAAGCTTTATACCTCATCAATAATAGCACATCATGGGAATCTGGACTCTTCTAAACCCTGCTTCCAAGTTCATTGCTCTTCCCTCAGGCTCTTCAGAATTTGCATGCACCCACGCATAAACATACACACACACACACACACACACACACACATACACAGAGGATACTATTTACCACCTTTGCTTTTGCTCCTGTTGTTCTTGCTGATATGCCCCTATCAGCTTGGTTCTGGGATTATACTCTCCAATGACGACCTCCCAGGTGGTATTGGCATGCACTCTTGCATTGAACTTACCACACTGAATTTTACATTTCTTTTGCCTCACCTTCCCTGAGCAACTGAACTCTTATTTAAGAATCCAGTGTGTTTTTTGTCTGCATCTTTGGCTCCCAGCATAGAGCTGAATAGGTGCCTTGTCAGCATCCACTCCATTCCTCTCTTGCCCAGCTCAATATCCTCACCCAGGGCAATATGTCACACAGAAACACCTGTTGAGTTGAGGCAGTGGGGCCTTCCTAACCACACTATGAGAAGAAGTGCCCTCATTCCCTTGTAGGTCGCTCTCAGCCTACCTGGACTCAGCTTCTCTTAGTTCTGTGTTGTCTTTCTTAGGTGTCCAGGAATCCCATGCAAACTGAAGGCTGCTCTCATCTCCTCAAGTCTGTCCGGGACAACCCAGCATCTGCACTAGAACTGCTAGATTTCTCTGTAAGAGCTTTTAAAGCCATTTTCTGATCCTCCCAACAACCCTGTTACATCTCCATTTGAGAGGAAAGAAATGGGGATTACAGAAACAAAGTGCTCTACTCAGATACACCAGTGGCAAGTGAGAGTTCCAACCCAGGTCTCAATGCAGGTCATGACACTACTGCAACTCTGCTCCCACTCTGGGCTGGCATCTGTAGCCTGGTCTGACCTTGGGCCCCGACTGTGTTCTTCCTTGGCTGAAAGAGCAGAGGTGGAATTTGGGGGCACCATGCTTAATATGCATGGATGTTTCGATCTGCAGGTTCAGCACTGGGCAAGGGTACCCTTCTTCCCTCCCCCATCCCAGCCAGTACTGCCTGCAGGTGGACTGCACTGCTGGAAGATCCATTTGTGGATTTGTGTGACAGCAAGGGAATTAGAACCCACTTTTAATGCCATTTTAATTTTTTTCCTGGTTTCTTTCTTTTTTTTTCTAGTTGGATAGTTTGCCTTTATTTTATTTGTTTATTTTTAAGTGGTACTGAGGACAGAACCCAGTGCCTCACACGTTTTAGGCAAGCGCTCTGCCACTAAGCCACAACCGCAGCCCAATTTTGCTTTTTTAGTATGGGAAAGAAATGTCACTCTTTTCTATTCTATGTCAATTCATCATTAAGGAGAGACTCCAGAATCACTTTGTGTATGTGTGTGTGTGGGTGTGCGTGCACATGTGGTGTAGGGGATGGAACTCAGGACCTCACACATGCTAGGCAAACACTAAGCTATGTATCCAGCCTGACAGAATATGAAGTTTTAAAGTTTGGTTACCAATCAATGCTCATTCTAACCTAGACTATTTAATCCACACTTGAGTCAGTCATACCAGAACTATTTTCACAGTTCTAGTCTTCCTAGATTGTCCTTACAACTCCAAAGCCAGAAAATTAGCATGACTTAAAAATGTTTCTTCAGTTCTAAAAATCCTTTTCAACACTGTATCTAATCGTTCTAGAATAAGGGGGGTGGATAATATATACATTTGCCTGCCAAACTACACATTTATTCAATACAATATATGGTCATTAGCAAAGGCCTCTAATATAACAGAAATACCACTAGTTTTGCAATCAGTTCATGCCTGGGACCAAATCCTGAGTTCATCAATGTGGGATCTTGCACAAGGTTCTGAACCAAAGAATCATCACACAAGCCAGGCTCTAATGTTCTATTTTCTAGTCTTTAACTGTTATCTTAGTCTAATCTGACTAATCCAGATTTTATCCTCAGCTCTGAGGGGAATGCTTATGACTTCTTGTAGTTGAAGTAAACTCCCTTCCAGAGCTCAGCCTTTTCTTTATGTGAAATGGGGCTAATACATGCCTTCCAGGGGCACTGTGTACATAGGATAGGAACTAGGTGTAGTGGTGTGCATCTGTAGTCCCAATTACTCAGGAGTCTGAGGCAGGAGGCTCTCTTGAGCCTAGGAGTTCAAGACCTGCCTTGGCATCACAGAAGGACTCCATCTGTGTTGAAGATAGTAAATTTAAAAATTTTAAAGTGAAAAAGATGGAATGAGATGATAGACCCTGTAGGTAGGACTTGCACAGAGAAAGGCTCAATTAATGTGCTAGTTCTCTTCTCCTCAGGCCTCTTCCCATGCTAAAGAGTGCCTAAAGATTAAGATGGATCTCAAGCAGCATGTACCCATGTAACTATCCCCTCACATGGAGAAATAGAGCATGCCCTTAAAAGCCCCCCCCCCTTGAATCCCTTCCCTTTTCTATTTTAATACTTTGGGAAGTGTGAGATCATCATCCATGGGAGAGAAACTGCCCAGAGGAACTTCTTGGAGACCTTGTGTACAAGTAATACAACCAAGTTCCCAGAAAGGAAGAATGCACTGTCTTATCATGGGTTTCTCCTTAGGATATGCAGGTGAACAGAGAGTTTGATGACCTTGCTAGCTCAGTGAAGGTGATTCTTCCAGGCCTTTGCATAAAGACTGGTGCTCCCAGAGTGAACTATAAGAAAGAGTTGCTGCCAGTCTTCAGACCACCCCCACCAGCATCTGCTCTTAAATGACTTTGGAAGATGGCTTCCTCATCTCCCAATAAGTCACTTCAGTTTCCACATGGTGGACTACTGGACTCTTGACACTTGTACCTTCCTCTGCTCCATGGACCCTGCTATAATCTAGGCCTTCCTTTGCCATCACTCATTCATGTAACACATTGGTGTGGACACAGGGTGAAAGATGTCCCTGTTCATCTTCCATATGTTCCTGTTTTAGTGACCTTGGAAGAAAAAATATGAGAAGGAGTACATATCGCACTCCCAAACTACTTGCAAAAATTCAACTTGTCACAGCCCTTTGGGAAGGCAATTGTTATTATGCACTGAGAGTCATCAAATTGTCCGTTTTGATCCAAATGTTTGTGTAATTGTTCTACAGAACTAATCAGAGATACACAAAAAAATTGTTGCCTGAAGATGTTCACTGAAATGCTGTTTATAATAATGAAATATGGAAGTAAGTTAAATGCCCACTAATTAAGATTTGGAACTCTGCAAATGTTAAAAGCCCCATGCTCAAAAACATTGAAGAATTCATGAAAATATACATGATGTAAGCGAGTACATCAAGGTAAAAAACTCCTATGGTTTTTGGCATTTCCTCAAAAGTTTAATCATAGAATTACCAACTGAACCAATAATTCCTCTCTATGTGTATACTCAAGAGAATGGGAAATATATCAATGGAAAAACTTTTTCAGGTATTGTTCATTGTAGCATTATTCATAATATCCAGAAAGTTGGAATGCTTATCCATGGGTACATACAATATGGCATATCCATACAATGGAATGTTATTCAGCAACAAGAAAGAATTATGCAGAGAACTGTGGTCTCACCTGCAATCCTAGCTATTTGGGAGGCTGAGACAGGAGGACTGCAATTTGGAGGCCAGCCTAGACAAGTTACAAAATCCTATCTCAAAATCATTTTGTAATATAAATTTTTTAGTTGTTGGTAGGCCTTTATTTTACTTATTTATTTATATGCAGTGCTGAGAATTGAACCCAGTGCTTCACACGTTAGGCAAGCGCACTACCACCAAGCTACAACCCCAGTCCTCAAAATAATTTTTTTTAAAGTTAGGGATGTAGCTTAGTGGCAGAGCACTTGCCTAGAATGTGTGAGGCTTTGGGTTCAATCCTCAGCACCGCACACATCCATACATAAAAAGTGCTGTGTATGTAGTTCAATGGTAAAGTGCTTACATAGCAAGTATGAGACTGTGTTCAATCCCTAGTGCTAAAAAAAGAGAAAAATGAAATTTATATGACAAAATTTTCTTAAATTGATTTTGGTGATGAGTGTACAATTCTATGAATATACTAAAAGCAATTGAATTGTATACAGTACTTTGAAAGAAAGAATTTTATGGTATGTGAGTATTATCTCAACAAAGCTCCTTTCTAAAAAGGAGAAATTTGATACATGCTACAGGGATGAAACTTGAAAACATGTTCAATGAAAAAAGTAAGTCACATATATTGTCAAGAATATATATGTGATTTTGTTTATTTTTATATTGAGGATTGAATCAGAAGTGTTTTTCCACTGAGCTATATCCCCAATCCTTGTATTTTTGATTTGGAGACAGAGTCTCCCTAAGTTATTGAGAGTCTCACTAAGTTGCTGAGGTTGGCTTTGAACTTGTGATCCTCTTGCATCAGCCTCCTGGGTCACTGAGATTACCCGCATGCACTAGTACCCTGGATTGTATAATTCTGTTTGTATAAAATGTCCAAAATAAGCAAATCTTCAGAGAAACAGAGTATAGGTTGTTTAGGACTAGGGAGATGGGGGAATTAGGGGTTGGAAGTTACTGAATTTGGGTTTCTTTTGAGGATAATAAAAACATTCTAAATCTGACTATGATAATGTTATGCAACTCAACGATGTTGTAGAATCAAGCCCAGTCCAGTGGTGGGTACTTGTAATTCTGGGAAGGCTGAAACAAGAGGATCACTTGAGCCCAGAAGTTTGAGACCAGTCTGGTCAACATAGTCAGACCTCATCTAAAAAACAATAACGTGGACTGGGGTTGTGGTAGAGCTCAGTGGCAGAGCACTTGCCTAGCATGTGTGAGGCACTGGGCTCCATCCTTAGGACCACAAAATGAATAAATAATAAATAACAAACAAAATAAAGGCATTCTGTCCATCTACAACTACAAAAAAAATAAAAAAATAAATAAATAAAGATATCATGTCTATCTACAACTAACAAATTTTTTTTTTAAAAAAAGAACAAAACATAGAGCTGTACACTTCAAATGAGTGAATTGTACGGTATATCAATTATATCTCAAGAAAACACTTAGAAAAATATTGTTTGATCCCAATTTTATTAAAAAATGTATGAATGTATATATTCAGGAAAAAAGACAAAACAGACCCACAGAAATATTAATAATGTGTATCTCTAGATTGTAGGTTTATGGATTATTTTTATTTATAGTTTTTGGCCATTTACACACTATATACTCTGAATGTGTTAATTTTATAATAAAAAAATATTTAAAAACACAAAGTAATACAGACTATAATTAAGTTCTGTGCATGATATTGTTGGATCTCTGAGTAAAGTGGGTGCTGAAGAGTGGATTGAATTGTGTCCCCCTAAAATTATATGAAGACCTATTCCCCTATGTGACTATATATAAAGACAGATATTTTTAAAAAATATAGTTTTTTTTTAGTTGTAGTTGGACACAATACCTTTATTTGTTTTTAAGTGGTGCTGAGGATCAAACCCAAGGCCTCACATGGGCTAGGCGAGCGCTCAATTGCTGAGCCACAACCCTAGCCCCTGGAGACAGGTCTTATGAGGAAAGAATTATGGTTAAAAAAGGTTTCAAGGGTGAGGACATGATATAATCAAGTTAGTGTCAAGAGACCATAGAGTTTGTATGCTTCTCTTGTAGATATAATGATAATGTAGCTGTTTGCCATAATATAAGGACATGATAAGAAGGTAGCTGTACAATACAATGTGAGGACATAGAGGGTGGCTGTCTAAAAGACAGGAAGAGAGACTCTGGACCTTCTAGTCTCTATAAATGTGAAAAAAAGAAATTTATTTTGTTTCAGTCACCTAGTCTATTATAGCTGAGAGATGACTAATACATAAATATGTGCTCTCCTGGGCAAAAGAGGCAAAGGGAGGGCAATGGTCTTCTGGTTTCCCTGACTCAGAAGACCTCACTCTGTGACCCTCTTTGTACCAAAATGATCTTTCTAAACACACAACTGATCCCACAGTTCAGAGGCTCCCCATGTACTCACAGAAGTCTGAACTCCTTAGTTTGGTGTGTCCCATTGCACAGGATGGTACCAGAATCTCCTCTAAAGAGGGAAAGTTAAAGTCTGGTTCCATTATTTTCTCAGGAGATGCCAGAGCAGTAGTTTCCATTCTGGTAATAAGCTGGAAGTACACCCGGATTCCTCATCCCATACTTTTCTCCAAAGTTCACACATACTGGGTTCTAAAGGAAGTTGAGATAATCTTTAAGGGAAGAATCTGATGATGGTTCCAAAGTTCTCCAAAATGAGGAATGGGTCCTAACCCAGCTCTTCTGGGTTCAGAGTGTACCCACCCCCATCCCCAGAAACCCATTTCTCAGGAAAGAAGTATTCAGCTGGGGGTGGTGGCGCAAGCCTGTAATTCTACTCGCAGCTACTCCAGAGATAAGGCAAGAGAATCTCAAGGCCAGACTCATTTGTGTCAAATTTTTTAAAAATTCAATAATAATAATAATAGTAGGAGGAGGAAGCCAGGTGCCAGCCACGCCCAGACCAGAGGAGGAAGCCCGGCCCTGCCCTGCCTGCTAGTCCGGAGGAAGCCCATCAACCCTTAAAACCCATCAAAGGGGTTGTGGCTACCAGCACTGTTCTGCAGCTGATCCAGGTACCCGGTTTCCAACTCCCCCACTCTTAGCTGCGATAACTCAAAATATTTCCCACAAGCTTTTGGGGGTTGTAGCTATCAACGCAAAACAACAACTGTACAGGCACCTGGTTTCTACCTCAGAGACTAGAGTAGGGAAGATACAGGTGGAAGCTCATGTCCTTTCACACTGGCTATACCCACCACCCTGAAAACAGAGGCTCAAGCTAGGAATAGACAACGCCACCTACTGGAAGCAAGGAAAACAGAGTTCTGAGAGAATTTTTTTTTTCTCTCTCTCTTTTCTTCTCTCTCTTCCACAACTTCAACATATGTGAAACCAAGAACTGTGCATGAACAACCAAATTACCAAAGTAATATAATATAGAAGAATTGCATATACACCACCTTCCCCCCATTTTTTTTCTTTATTTCTATCTTACTTTCCTTTTCCTTCTCTCTTATTTCTCTTTTCTTCCTTGTTATTTTTTTTTCTTTTCTTCATTCATATTCCCTCTATCCCACTTTCAATCTCCTAACTTTTGCTATCTATACATAGGGTAACTATCTAAATACAGATAGGAGGTTGAGTCTATACATTCTTCCATAAATTACCAGTCTATTGGTTAGAGTTCTCCAAAGGTGCTAAGTTAGTTTAACCTCATACCCTCACTCCTTTCCCTCTAAGTATAACATCCTTCATCTGAAATTAAGTTTTCTATATGCCACCAGATATGGTATGCCTTTTATGAAACTAATGACTATATTCTTAAATAATAATTAAAACCAATATCTATACACTTAGAATCCAACTATTAATGTATTAATAATGAAAACTTGTGCTTAGATGATGTACTGTTGATATTGGGAACTATTAACATTGTCTTTCGCCGCAAAAGAGGGATTTTGGAGCTATACAAGAACAATACAAATATATAAGGGGAAAACCATTAACACAACAGTTTCACAAAGCTAGAAAGAATCATGAGCAGTAAGAAAAGACAAGGAAAGAAAGGACCACAAACAATAAAGGTCAATTCAACATTAGATGAGGTAATATCTGCAGCTGATGGAATATCAGACAAAGAGTTCAGGATATACATGCTTCAGATGATCTGGAGTCTCAA